ATTCAAAGTGACCATCTACTTACTTGCAAAGAGTAGGAAGATGACCTTGATGGAGATATGAAGGCTCTGTTTCCTAAGAAAAAAGATCTAAAGCATATTTCCATCAAGCTATTTTCTTCTACCTTGTCTGCCTATTCGTAGATGCTATAAGAGGTGTCCACCAAGGAAGGCAAAAAGTCAAGATGGCAATCACTGCCCTTCTTATGCACCATGTGCCATGGCTCTAAAAAAGGATAGTGGGACACATTTGCTGTCTTGACTTTTTTTGAGCCATGCAGACAACCCTGGCTTGACAACTTCATACTGTTTTCTAGCTAGTAATTTTGGGGTCTATTTACTTCTGTTGAAGACCATATTTTGTTTTGTCTTGCATCAGTGTAACCAAATGGTAGGCTGAAATACCCTAGGACAGCTTGCTGCACAAGGACTCTAACATTAGTAGCCTAGATCACACTTTGAAGGAGAAAGACCAGAATCCATGTAATAGATGTGAAAAGCCAATTTCTTGTTGGTTTACAATGGGCTTCTAGAAACCCCTTGCATTTGAATTCATTCCTCATATTGCCTGTCTCCCAGGGAAAGCAATAATCTCTCTTTTGAACCATTCAGCCAATCCACACCATAATTTTCAGGCTCCTGGTCATAAAAGAATACAACTGGAAGTGTAAAATCAGAAGAAGTCTGGCAGTAATTTTTCAGAGTAATATATTTTATTAAAAGGCATGAGCCGTCATTACTCCCCCTGACTTTAGGCTATCATAGTCTAACATATTTCTCCTCCTACAAAAACTGCAAGTTAAAAATATGACAGGCATTATGCTTAGTTATTCTTTTACTTTAATGTGAGTTACATGTGGATCTGAATACTCCAGAGTCACTGGACTCAGGCAGCATATAAATTTAATAAATTATTATTCTTAATGCACTCCTGAAATGAAGGAGTTTGGGGACCTTATAAAAAACAGATGTTAGAAGCTATGTGCATGCAAAGTGGTAGAAGCTTTGCATGAAAAAATGTATTTCTTTGTCATGATATATAACTAAGATGTGGGCATCCTCAGTTTTAAAAAGTGAAGCTGCATTAAAAGGTTTCAGAAAAATTAAAACTTTAAAATTCGATTGTGTTCCAATTTCTAAGATTTCGCATGAGAATCCTTTGAATGCTATACGACTTGAATTACATATTGTTACAGTATGTATCAAATAGTTAATGAAACACAACTGCAATTTAAACATAGAAAAGTCTTTATAATATCTTATTTTTAAAGAAAACAGAAGAGAGACAATTCAGTTAGGGAAGATTTTCCTAAACTTGTTCAGTGATTCCTCAGGAATAATATTCTGGTTATAATCCAGTTATTAAAAATAATTATGGTTTATTTTTTTAACATCACATCGGATGTTTGGCAGTGGAAGGGGGAATTGAATATATTAATGAGAAAATGTCAGAATCTTGATATCATCCAAAATCCTCAGGAAATCTGAAATGTCACCTGTAAAGATTGCTCCCAAATATTGTAGTTTTTATTTCATAAGTATCTGTATAAATGCTACATAGCTAGAAAATAATGCTAGTTTTACTTCCAAACCAGATCAAAATCCAATTCAGGCACAGGAAGGAAGTCTTTGCTCAAACATATTGAATCAAAAGGTAAAATCTAATTTGATTTAGAGATGAGTTAAGGAATCTGAATTCTTTAAAAAAAGTTAAAACAACAGTTTGTATTATTACCCTCTATTTTCTGTTGTATCCTCTAAGAGTAATGTAAAATTTTATCTAGTACCAACTCTTATGCTTTTTTATCTTTTTATTTTGGAAAGTGGTATTTCTGTAATGGTTGTAATGTGATCCAGTAAACCTCATGTCCATAAATCAAGTTATTATTATGGTTTGTTGCACAGTCAACCAGATGTTCAGACTGAATTTGGCATTTTTGTCTATTTATTGGATCCTTTCCAAGGATCTGAGACAGGCAGACCTGATTGTTTGATGG